TAAACAAAACATTGTCTCTGTACTTTTGGGATGCCAGGGCACTGTTTAACCAAAGTACCCAGTGGCGGTGAAGTAGCTTGGTGATTAGAGCATTTGCTCATGCCAAAAACCTGGGATGGATCCCCACATGTATACAGTGTGTGAAGCTCAATAAGGGTCCATGTGTTTGTTTAATCCATGGGACATTGCAAGGAAGAATTAGAGGACACCAGCAACCAACCCTTATCCCAGAAGGCATCTAAAGAGTGTGGTGGTGAGCCTTGGTGACGTTTTAGTCATCATATCCATGCTGCTGTCGTCAGTCCCAGGATTATCTGGTATGACAGCACACAAATGTTCTACAAGAGACGCTGATCATAGATGTAATTGATGCTTATTTGTGACGATATTAGGTACTGGAGGACAAGCTTGTCCATGGATGCACAAGTGGTCCAGTAACACACTTTAGTCTGTAGGCCCTTGTTGGGTTGGTATGTTTGGTGGGTAACGGGTCATTTCACCCCAAACACGTTCACCCCAAGTCGTTTTACCCGGGTTGTTTCACACCAAACACGTTCAGCCCTTTTAGGGGTTGTTTCACCCCAGCAAAAAAATATTATTATTAACTATAAAATTGTTTCAGTATTTTACACACCAGCAAGATATCTCAGATCTGCTTCACACAACCTCTTGTGTGTACCCTTTGTGTTCTATGCAGCCACGGAATGGAACAGCCTTCCCCACACTCTTAGAACTGCACCATCATACTCGGCATTCAGATCAAATCTGAAAACTTTTTCTGTTTCAAAAAGCCTACCCTACATGCTGAAGTGTATGAAATGAACTTATTTCACTCCTGTGCTGTGTACTTTGAACATTGGGCGCTTGGAGCATGCATTATGCCTGGAGAAATGCGCATTACAAATGGATTATTATTATTATTATTATTATTATATAGTGTTGAAACACCATATTCAGGTTGTTTGAATACTTATATCAGTTCATATTGGCTGTGTTGGATCGGGTGAAGTCCTTCAGTGACGATAGCAAGTCGGTGCCTTGGACAGGAATGAAGTTGTGGAGAGTTCCTTGTCTATACTGTGTCAAGGGATGAAGAAGCTTCTCGTGGATCTTCTTATTTATCAATGCTTGTCCTAAGAGGCGACTAATGGGATCGGGTGGTCAGGCTCGCTGGCTTGGTTGACACATGTCATCGGTTCCCAATTGCGCAGATCGATGCTCATGCTGTAGATCACTGGATTGTCTGGCCCAGACTCGATTATTTACAGACCGCCGCCATATAGCTGCAATATTGCTGAGTGCGGCGTAAAACTAAACTCACTCTTATTCATCAAGCGCTGTGTAGTAACATGCATGCAGCATTCTTATCAAACCGTTGTTACGACTATAAGTATTACCTGTGCCACATGATCTGTGTTGATGGCGTTGACAAGTTTCACCCTTCAGTCCATCTTGACGCGGTCTTACTCTCTTCTTGCACCTGAGGCAGATCTCCAAGCATGCAGTCGCCATGACACAAATGCAAGTGTAATGTCTATCTCAAAGTCGACTTATTTAAACGTTCATTAAAGTTTTAAACGTGATGAGATGAGATAAGATATAAGCTTAAGTCTGATGTGCCATCTCAACACAGACACAGTACCACTTACCTGATTGTTGTAAAAACATTGCCTGATTAGGATTAAGAGATTTAAGCACTAATACACTAATTAGTTGGGGTGAAACAACTCTTGATTAGGGGTGAAACGACCCATCTCCCGAAAGGAACGATCGAATATCATTGGACTCTCCTGGGCTCCAGATTCGAGCTAGAGATCCTCCTGTTAAAAAATCTGCAGAACTTGATTTCAAGTAAATTGATACCTAATTTCAGTCGGAGTTTTGTTTATTGTTTTCATCAGAAAATATTATGTTAAAGTTAAGCAAATACAACAACATGTGGTGTTTTCGTAATTATCATATAAAATGGTGGGTGCTGCTTCACTAATGCCCGTGTGCATATATCGTTTCAAGAAGATCCACTTAATTTTGCTAAACTATTTTGTAAGCTTATGCGAGTCTTCTATTCGCTGCTGATAGCGGGAGACTAAACTAACAGTGTAAGCAGAGGAAAAATCTGACGGTTCTTCCAGAAAGAAATAGACAAAATCTGTTACATCAACTGGCAAGATTATGGCTTCCGGGTTTTATTTTCTATTTGAATCCCACTGTGGACTTCAGATCACCATTATCCAATATTCTGCTGTTCTACATATACTACCCATCAAAAGTTTAGACTCACTTAAAGCACTCACTATATGTTATGTATATATATATATGGTTATATCGAAGATGAATTTCTCCACTAACTTACGGGAACCAACTGCAAACCTTATGCAGATGAATTGCACGAGGATCATGCATCAAATTGCTGAAACACATGTGCAAATTTCGTGCATGTGAACAGCTGCGTTTTAGTGTAAATGTTTTGTGAAGAATTCGCCAATTTTCACTGATTTTCATCATTTATTGGACTTATGACAACAATCTTTTCAACATCACGAATTTGTTGTACACTTTGATTTTGGGTTATCCGCCCCTGTTACAAACTTGGCGGCAAACACGGCATGTGACTCGTAGTTTAAAATTGTGAATAACAATAACGTTACGTTTTAACTCTTTAATTTATCTGGGTTTTAAGTTTCTGGTCAGTTATTAAAACTGTTTTTTATTTCTTATAAACTGTACATTCCATGGGCGGATCCAGGAATTTTGAAAGAAGGTTTTGTTTTAAGGGGTTCGAAAACACTGTGCGTTTCTTGGCTGGCGTAAGACGTGACTATATTAATATCGAAAATAGGTGAAACCCGGAAGTTCACTTTCACACATGGCGGACGATCCTAACATTCGCAACGGCAGCGAGTGTTTTAGGCGGTTATGTTACCTATGACGAACACAATCGAGATGGGTGACTATACCTGCATCTGTTAAGGTAGCTGAACTAACTAAATCCCACGATCGATGCAGTATTTGCACACCACAAATCGCTATATATTGACCACATTACCTGAGCACTACGCATGGCGTGTAGCTGGGACAGATACAACACTGTTGTCTCCATACATACTAACATAGCCCAGATCGATATACGACATAGGGTTTCAAAATTATTATGTCGGTAGGTCCGGGTAGAGTACTGACAAGTATATACTCATATCACACACACACACACACACACACACACACACACACACACACGTTGGTGATTTCTTACGTCAAGAGGCGGTAGCAACTCTACATTAGTACGCAGGTCTCAATCCAGTAGAACATCAAATCTTTGAAGGGCATTTAGAAGAGGAATGCATAAGAAAAGCAAGATTTATGGATGTCAACTTCTTTATTGTGAATAACACGACGTTTCGGAGTGTATGCTAGCTCCTTTATCACCTGAGGAAAGAGCTAGCATGCACACAGAAACGTCGTGTTATTCACAATAAAGAAGTTGACATCCATAAATCTTGCTTTTCCAGCAGAGCATGTTTTGGACAATATTGGTTGCAGAAATCTTGAATTTATTACACACATGTTCTGAATATCTTTACGAGATAAGTTTGGTTATTTGAAACAGGTGTTGTGTAACCAGTTGAAAGTTATCCAACAAGTGTTGTGTAACCAAACTAGGTTATTGAACGATAGTAACGTCACTTTCTGTTACCACCTCGATATTATAAATTAACATTATAACTCCATTCTAGCAGTTTTTCACCAAAAATGTCAACCAAACCAAACATTAGGTTTGTGGGTAATTAAAATTCAAGTTCGGTGTCCTGGGGATTAGTAAGTTTTTTAAAATTGAATATTTTCATCTACAGAGTATCTCCCCAAGGGAGTTATTTTTGTTTTGTTTACATCCGGCATCGTCTGCTTGATTTGTCATCATGGATGACACTATTTTCCCGTCCTGTGTGTAATAAATAGATCACAAAACTCGTGGATGTTGAATATGGAAAATACCACTCGTTTTGTAATCTCTATATATTGGAACAAGCCCGGCCTCCATCAAGGATGGATACAATCAATGAGGAGGGTCAGGGACGTTATTGCAGCTGTCGGATGTTATCAGCTTTTTTAGAACGGGGGTGCACACTTCATTTTCACCCGTTTTCACAGGTCATTTAATAAACTTTCAGGACAAAAGAGAATCCACCTATGGTTATATACCAGGTATTGATGTTGATCTCGATTATTGATACTTATGTGATTTCTTGAGGATAAAATGCCAGAATCTTGAAAACGACTTGTTAACGCCATACGACCAGCATTATAAAATGAGTCATTTGTTTGCTTCTATTAATAAACTACAGATTTCGTTCTTCTTGCGTTTTAAAATGATATTGAATTGTTTCTTAGGGTCAATTTACATAGATTGTAAGTTAATTATATTTCCTTTGCTTTGAGTAATGATAACATATTGATAAATATGAAACGTATAGGTATTGCGATACTTTTTTCCATGTTTATATTACCGCCTCTTTAATTTGCTTGGCTGTAGTAACTTCAGCGTGGTAACAGTGTAAGGATCGTTGCTACATGCACAAACCAGATATTGTTGTCCTTATAAGTATTCTTATTTACCCACAAAGTTCTAGAATGGAATAAATTACATGTTTTTCGCAGAACCGTATAATTTCACTTCGTCATAACGGACTGTTTGTATACAAACTCAACTGTATAGTTGACACACATCCGGATGGGGGAAACTGTCTTCATCTTTGAATATTTCTCAAATGAGAATCCTCAGCTGAGCATACACGTGTTGCTAAACTAAAAGTCAAATCTTTCGCGTTTTGCTTATCCATACATAGGGTATCTATGTATTAAACCGTTTCAGCTTAGTTTCTGGAAGCCTTATGGCTATTTAAAAACGGATTGTCTTTGTATGTTACTGCTACAGTAAAAACATTGTCCGGTATCTGGGCTGCTGTGCGTTTCCTGGCTGGCGTAAGACGTGACTATATCGAAAATAGGTGACACCCGGAAGTTCACTTTCACACATGGCGGACGACCCTAACATTCGCAACGGCAGCGAGTGTTTTAGGCAGGGATGTTACCAATGACGAACACAATCGAGTTGGGTGACTATACCTGCATCTGTTAAGGTAGCTGAACTAACCAAATCCCACGATCGATGCAGTATTTGCACACCACAAATCGCTATATTTCGACCACATTATCTGAGCACTACGCATGGCGTGCAGCTGGGCCGGATACAACACTTGTCTCCATACATACTAACATAGCCCAGATCGATATACGACATAGGGTTTCAAAATTATTTTGTCGGTAGGTCCGGGTAGAGTACTGACAAGCGTATGCTCATCATACACACACACACACTTCTCCAAGTTCTTGTCAATATGCACAATAACTCGCATGACGAACATGATGTTTTGTTAAAACAGTTCCCTCCTGCAGTAAGTTTCTCACCGCTTATAGCCAGGAAATTTATCATATCCATATCGTCGTAGTAATCACTCCTTTATATTAGTTCTTACTTTGTTTAATATGTTCAAATGACTATAAGGGAAATTACATTAAATACACAAACGTTATAAGTACATTAAATGGATATAAAACTCTTTTCAATTGTTATGCGTCCGTGTTGACAAAAAGTGTTTGTTTTTTCTTCTTTCAGCCGATGTTTGTATATACGACGATAACACAAGTACACCGATATGAAGCGACGACTCCCCAAAAGCAAAAAAGCTGGTTCGTGTCTATAATAATCCTAATTATAAGATCATCCGTTACTGTTTACAAATATGGGTACCTGAGAAGCCGCAACAGGCCATGCAGAGTTGCTTCCCCTTGCCTTCCTCGCAGGTCGAGTGTTCGAATCCACGATTTGCCTGCAATGACATCTAACTTGTTTGAGTGGCATTTTAGAAGTTGAGACGTACACTATAGAACAATTTTTTTATGGATAACAACTTCCTTATTCCATAAAAAATTGTTCTATAATGACATCTAAGCTTTGTACCCATTTTGAAAACAAAATAACATTTTACATTAAAATCATAGTTTGTGTGCTTGAACCTTAATTTAGATAGTATTTCATATGTTTAGTTATTTTGACCTGTGTGGTTAAATGTACTTGCAGAGCTAGTGAAATCGCCCAAGGCAAAAAAGGCCCGCCCACTCTTGACGGGCGAGGTACTACAAGACACACTGGGAAAGAAATGGCGTCTGGTATCTGAGCTAGCTGAGGGCCACATGGGACCTATATATGCAGGTAGTTTTCTCGCTAAAATTTATACCATGCTTTTGTTTGAGAATTTAAATATTTTCTGTATGGTTAATTTGATCTGGAAACAGCCAGTACGGATTTCACATATGGTAAAAATACGCGCTCGAAACAATTGAGCTGGTGAACTTGAAAGATAATAGAAATCAGATGTCACCCCAGCCTGGATTCTTGTCCTCATGCTTGTCATTGGTCAGTGACCCACTGGGTCATGTCACCGTACCCCACCGGAAGGGGTCGTTTTTCACATGCCATCAGCAGGTTGTTCTCCTGGTCCAGATCTCCATATGTACAGGTTGTATAAAATATAATGTTATGAATAGACTTATAAACTACTGCGGGAAAAAAGTATGCACTAAACTCAGCATACTACATTATTTTGTACTGTGAAATTGCGCTCAGGTTCCCAGAGACGTCATCTGCACATCACCTGTTCTGAGACCCTAACTGATATCATGCATTAAATACCGTTTATAATACATATCATATACATTGTTACTTCCATAAACCATGGGTGTATACTTCCTTTTGCCGGGTCACACTCTTGATTAAACTAAACAAGATGTCTTGATTCGTAATATCTGCTGTCGAAATTTACATGATGACCCGATTTTCAATATATTTTTTTTAATGCAATGAATTTTTGTTCTCAGCCACATCAGATGACGCTGGATCAAACGTGGAAGACGATGTCGTCAAAATAGTGAGACTTTTATCATTGACTGTTTAGCGTAGCTCTCTGTGTACTGTTTCTTTCGTAAAGTGTGCAGCTTGTTTGTATAATGCACTAAGCATGTCCCCAGGGTCGTTCCCAGGAATGTCAGTAATATAGTGGTACCATGGCAACCCCACCGTGTAGGCGTCTCAGACCATGCAGTTGGTGTCGTTTAGCCACCTAATGCTGATAGTGCATGTTCGTTGATTCAAGATGTGGTTGGCGTGCCACATATATTACCTGGTGTATACATTCTTTAGATGGACTGTAGGCTATAAGTGAGGTCAATATATATCAAGGATATTATTCCAGTCATGCATATTAATACGATATGTTATATATGTGAAGTATATATAGAAGAATTAGTAGCGTGAATAATAAATCAATCAGTTTTATATAAGGCTACTTTGAACATTATTGCAGCTATATCACTGCGTGTTAGCCTAAGTAGGAGACCCTATCGTTGGCTCAATAAATCACCATTAGCAAAGGTATGAGGATTTCGTCCTAGTACTCAACAGCAATTATAAAAACTTCAAGGGATAGCTGGCTCAGAAACTGCGGCTAATGAAGGCTTCGCAGCCTGCTTGACAGTATTTCATGGCAGATCTATATTTTCTAGTCGAATACGTATACAAGGACTGAATTTAATATCAGGCGAACACACACACACACACACACACACACACTCTCTCTCTCTCTCTCTCTCTCTCTCTCTCTCTCTCTCTCTCTCTCTCTCTCTCTCTCTCTCTCTCTCTCTCTCTCTCTCTCTCTCTCTCTCTCTCTCTCTCTCTCTCTCTCTCTCTCTCTCTCTCTCTCTCAGCCTACATAGTCTGTGATGAGTCTGTACACGCACTGTATAGTGTACAAGGTATCGGTTTACGTATTATATGCATAATATCGGGAGACGTATTTACCGGAGTTGTTTCAGCCTAACTGTTTATCGCGGCATTATGAAAGATGTAAGTTACAGACAACGTAGTGCAAAGAGGAAATGGGGACGTTGGCAAGCCCTGACGTATACAGCATTTGTGACACTATGACATTGTCTCTTATTGTTTATGTTTTCAGGAAAAAAAGAGCAGTGGTCACCTGTTTAATGAGCACGTGGTTTACCAGGGAATGGGAGTTGCCAAGTTAGGTCTGTATACAGTGATAATCTTTTAGGATAGAGTTGATCCTCGGGAATGTGTTATGTGACACTAGAAATGGGCTTCACACATTGTACCCATGTGGGGAATCGAACCCGGACTTCGGCTTTAACCTTTCGGGGTTGATGACATATTACCCATTCAGTATTGATGATTGGAAGATGGCCCTGTAGCACACAATATATGTACACAAATCAACTGACAGAGAAAACGCGTAGGATTTGCTTCAGTGAAACCCTCTTAAGTGAGGCGACGTTATAATATCCCCAGTTGCTCACAGTGCGGATATGGCAATGGGCGGCATCTACACGTTTCAGATACACTGACTGACTGACTGAGTGGGGATTCGAACCCCGGTCTTCGGCGTGACGAGCCAACGCTTTAACCATTAGGCTACCCCACCGCCCCGTTTCAGATACACAATAAGCAACATGTTGTGAGTTCAGTGTGCCGTTGTACAAAACAATCTTAGCGCTAAGGTGACCATAACTCCCATACCTTAACATAGACTTAAGGTAGTCTTAGGTTGTTTTGTTTAACAGCACCAGAATCTATTTAGAAATACATAAAAGTACCTTGTCGTGATTGAGTCAATATAAGACTTGGCACTAGTATTTTACAGCTATCAGCGAGGAGAGAGTAAGTATGGTTTTTACGCCCTTTTTAAAGCAATATTTCAGCAATATCACGGCGGGGAACACCAGAAATGGACTTCACACATTGTTCCCATGTGTGGAATCGAACCCGGATCTTCAGCGTGCCGAGCCGCTTTAACCATTAGGCTACCCCAATCAGCGACAAGAAGAACGTCCCATCACTTATCTTACATGTGTTTGTAGTATGATGTCATGTGACTGTTCCTATTACAGCGAAGAAGTGGACTAAGGATAGGGGCTTGTCCCATCTAGGAATCCCTGTACCCCGGGGGCAGGGGACGCATAACCATGAGGGTGAAGTCTACAGGTTCCTGGTGTTACCGCGGCTCGGGACTGACCTTGACACGTTGATGGGGACAGAGCAGATGCTGGCCTTCAAGGACGTTTCCGAAATGGCCATGGCTCTGGTACTATATACAATACCTTATGTTTCCCTGGTTAGAACAGATCCCCAGTACATCATGTTTGTCGTAGGGGCCAGTGCAGTAGGGATAGGGTGTTGTGGTCATGGGCGTTATCATGCCCACGTGGCACTTGAATCGTTGTTCTGGTGCTTGCACCGATTTTCATCATTATTTCTAAGACTTTGCTGAGTCAACTTCAAAAGAAATGTTTGTAACAACTGGTCGCCACTATGTTGCAAAACAAATCTCCTCACTTCTACAGTTACTATCCATTCATTTTTGCTGTTAACGCAAACAATTTGACGATTGGCTAAATTTTTTACATGTTTTCCACCCCTACCAAAAAAAACCCTATTCATTTTGAGCACATTTCTTGCTCATTTTGGAAAAAAAGATTCTCTCGTCATCATTGAAACCAGATGATGCCCCCTTTCTGTTTTAAGGTTCAATGGATAACTGGCGGAGTATTATCTTGTTTTAATTCTTTGTCCCCTTAAGTCAGTACAAAACATGTTGTTGATAGAAATCAGCCAGTATAGCCAGTGTGTCATGACTTTGTTTTGTGTTAGTGAGGTGTCGGGATGTTTTGGATGTTCTTGCAACAATTTACTATAGATATGATGGATCTGTTTTCACAAACTAAACTTCAACTATCATAAAACACAAAATGTACACTTTCTCTTTCTTCACTTTAACAAAGACAAAAAACTCATTTCTTTGCCTCTCCTTTCTGCAGATAGACTGTCTAGAGTTTATTCACGAGCATGGCTATGTTCATGGTGACATCCATCCCGCCAACATCATCGTCGACGACAGGAAAGGGAACTCTGACAAAGAGAAAACTGTTAGTAAAAGTTCCATCAATGGAGCGGTAATAGCTAGCGCCGTGCACTACTCGTTATCAACATGTATCGGTACAGATCTGATCTACCTTTAGAAAATAAACACCTGTTTTTTAGGCAGGTGAACTGAGATCCGGTATGGAATTGGTCTTCAGCAACCCATGCTTGTCCAAAGAGGCGACTAACGGGATCGGTTGGTCAGGCTCGCTGACGTATTTAACACATGTCATCGTTGCGTAGATCGATGCTGATGCTGTTGATCACTCAGCCATATTCCAGCATCATGTAGTGAGTGAGTTTAGTTTTACGCCGCACTCAGCAATATTCCAGCTATATGGTGGCTGTCTGTAAATAATCGAGTCTGGACCAGACAATCCAGTGATCAACAGCATGAGCATCGACCTGCGCAATTGGGATCCGATGACATGTGTCAACCAACTCAGCCAGCCTGACCACCCGATCCCGTTAGTCGCCTCTTACAAGCATGGGTTACTGAAGATCGATATTCTAACCCTGACCTTCACGGGTCCCGAGCTTTATAACGTCAGTCTGTAAATAATCGAATCATGAGCATCGATCTACTGTGTATGCGACTCGATTGTCACAGGCCCGGTCATACAGCTGTAATGTTGCTGGAAGCTGCGCATTATAAACAAATATACCATGTTCACAATAAACTCCGTTGTCAATACATATAGTCTTGTGGAGAATCACAATTGCCAGGGTTATTTATTTTTCCAGGTTCACCTTGTAGACTACGGCCTGGCCAGAAAGTACATGGTAGACGGCAAACATAAGCCGTACGAGGAAAGCAAGTTCATCCCGGACTGCCCCACATTGTACATGAGCACGGACGGCCACAGAGGAACCGGTAAGCTAGGAATAAGCTGTACAATTACATCTGTCAAGATCTGAGTTAGAATTCTTCAGCTGCCCAAGTCGAAAGAGGCGATGAACAGGGTCGTGTGGTTCGGCTGACTTGGTTTCTGCATGTCATCTTATGCCATTTGCGGAGGAACCGCCTCCGTGGTGTAGTGGCTAGAGCGTCCGCCCGGAGTGCGGAAGGTCGCGGGTTCGATCCCCGACCGCGTCATACCAAGAGACGTTAAAATATGGTACTTGTTGGTACAAGCAGTACAAGCAGCCGCACATGCACGCGCATGCACGTCGTCATGTGAGTGAAATATTCTCAAGCACGACGTTAAACCCAGTTCCACCTCCACCACCATTTGCGGAGGTCTATCCACACAAGGATAGAGTATGTCTGTGTCAGACTGTGTTATAGTATCTCAGTAGACCATCAGCCTGGTTCCCCGTGTCCGTTGCGCCTGCGCTACGCTCCGACACTGAGCGTCGCGCAGACGCAACGGACCCAGGGAACCAGGCTGAGTAGACCATCACTATAAAACCGGCATAAGTCCCGACCGTCGCACTGATTGAGAAGAATCCGATAAGATGTCCTCAAATGTCAGTAACACGAATAGACTGTCATCACATCATCCTAACAGTATATTAAATGTGAAGTAGAGGTGACATTTCACTCTCCCTTTTTCCTCATTTTCTGTATGACAATACCTAACATGTAGACTTGTCTACACGACAGTAATTAGCCCTCGTCAATAAATCGTTTGTCAAAGGCTCAGGACTTACATCGTACGTTCAGTCAGGACATGTAATCTATCATCCTTATGTCTATCTGGTAGGTTATTCCCTACATATATCGCGAAACAATTCCCCCTGACAACTTTGATCCCTGCTATAGCCACTGATCTCTCCTATACAGACCAGTCACGACGAGGGGACCTGGAGATGCTGGGCTACTGTCTGCTACAGTGGCTTTGTGGGCGGTTACCATGGGAGGACAAACCCCAGGAAAAAAACTATGTCCGAGATTCAAAAATAAAGTAAGATACACACGCACGCACGTTAACTATGCCATAGAGGTTGTACAAAAAGCAACCAATAACAAACATACGCGATTTCATTAAAGGTAAGCGAACAACCATGACTTTTATAGTTCATACATTAGCCTATGAGTATATTAACTAGGTTCGCCAGGTGCCAGTAGAAATCTGGAGTTCTTGACTAGTGTCTTTGCACATTTGATTTACTGTTGTAAGACACGTTCGTACATAGATTTATTCCTGTAATACATGCTCTTATCTTACATTGGTTCAGGTTCAAAGAGGACATCACTTCAAATGTTCACTCGGATTCACTTTCATGGATGGATGACTCCCAGGCAAGAGGTACTAGCTACAGTATTTTCAATTCAGTGGAAATGTAGATTCAGTGATACTCACGGGTTTGTGAGATAATGAGGATTAACTCCCTGGATAATAAGAGGAAGGACAGATAGTCCCTCTGGCATCCAGTGGGTTTAAAGATATCGTAGTACTACAACGCACAAATTAATCTCATATTCACTTAGTTTCGTTTAATAAATACTGTGCTGACTGATCTCACTGTAGTGGTAAACATCAGCGACCAGGGTCACTTTAAGATTGGTTTATTATTTAAAAGACGTCTACATCACTCTCTCGTCGGCCTCATCGCCATTGACAATACGTCACGATCATCACTTTGCCAGGTATATCGTCCTGTGGATAATTCTATCTAGGCGAGGCAGACCGACCTGAAGATAATTCTATTTAGGCGAGACAGAGAACCTGAAGATTGTATTTTGGCGAATAAAACTAGTGTTGGATTGTCGACCCCCCTAGTCGTAAACATCGGTTATAGATATTAGTTGTATGAACGAGTGATATCTGGCCGGTAATTTCCGGTACAACTGAATGAGGCGAGTCGTTTCCAATTTTGGTCATATTGGGATGAGTGATCAATGGTTATTGTCATACCGAAAGTAGGACCCCAACCATCGGATCCTCCTACCATACTTTTGCAAGTTAATTGAGTTTTTTTGTGTTCCAGGAGTGTTGATGTCCTACTTTGACTATGTCTGTGGTCTAGACTATGAGGAGAAGCCCAACTATGGCACTTCGAAGAAGTTACTTCAGGAGCTTCTTACAGAGCCACGGAAAAAGGAGACGACAGCTCCTCTTGCAAAATCCAAGGGTTCTAAAGTCCGGTACAAAAACCCAGAACCCCTAGCCGCTCCCGATATATCTAAACCAACTGCAGATGTGAAAACAACCAGGACAAGTAAGGCTGCAGGCGCTGGTGAACCAAAGGAAGCACAGGTCGACGCCCAAATAAAATCTCCAAACCTAAAATCTCCAAAACGAGCTTCCCTTACCAAAGAAACGAATCCTAAAATCAAGGGCAGTATTAGTAAATCCGTAGTCAGAAGTGGAGGTAGTGGGAGTGACACAGGCGAGAAGTCTAAACCTTTTCAAAAACACGGCGTGAAAACGAGGCCCAACACGAGGCTTACCCTTAATGTCGGAGGTACAGAGTTTGTGACATATTCGAAGACCCTTGAGAAGTATCCCTCCAGGCTGGCCGACATTGCTCATGAAGCTGCAGAGCATCAAGACATCCCCTTCATTGATCGTGACCCGACATTGTTCCCATACATTCTCAACTTCTTGCGAGACGACGGGCAGACGACACTACCTGAAACCAAGCAGGACTTGAGAAAACTGCGACAGGAAGCTCGCTACTTTAGCCTCACGAGCCTGACAGATAAAATCGACCGTCTTGTTTTAGAATAGGTCAATATATACTGACGTTTTGTTTGCTTTTAAGGTTTTAATGAACCAGTATTGTGCACGGTGGTTTGGGGTTGATAATACATCTGTCCTCTATTTTTTGATAAAAACCGATCTAAACGTTTTTGAAGAGAGCCAGATTGCTGAGTGCGAATAAAGTTCTAATTATATTTCAGATAATCGTACATTATAAAGTAAGTTCTCAGTATTATGTTTATAGTCATGGGTAAGGGATATGGTCAAGATTAATTTTTGACCAAATCAACGCCTAATTATGTGAAGTACATTGGGGCAATTTTAACGTAGAATGAATGGGTGAGTGTATGCCAAAACATTCTCATTCTTTTATACATCTTATTTTAGATACATTTTGAGACCCGATTACTAGCTCCTTTTTTATATTTTGATGTATACATTTCCCCAGGTATCCCTCGCCAATTTGTATGCTTGATTCCACTCTCGGTCCCAAAATATGTTGGGGAGTAATCCCTCCGCAACAACGGTGAACCAGTGAACTAGGGTTCACAACATAAAGATTACCAGTCACAAATGAATTTCATCACATATTTGATAATTGTGGGGCAACCGGTGGGTGTAGAGTCGGGAGTGTTATTGGGTGAATGTTGATGATATGTGAACTATCAGCATATATATATATTGGATAGAAATCATGTATTTGTATATGAAAGTGTTTTCCTGTTGCTGTGTTATATTTGTGTTCATGTTGCCATATTAAATATGGTTGTTACAAACCTCATAGAACATGGTGGCAATACAGTGTATTATGCATTATGACGAGACAGTATTCTGTTGTTGTGAAGACTCTTGCTTGACAATGGCATAATAATTTATACCAAAACGTCGATCATTATATGATAAGTTGTCATCCAGAGAGTATCTTGCCTTTATAATTACCAACTTCTAAAGTGTAGATCAAGCAGAGAATGACAGACGGGCAAACTAATGTCCTTAGCAGTGAGACGTGAATGTTCATCATGTTCTATGTTTTAATTGTTTTCTTGTCCATGGAGATTCAATAAATAATGTGACAATAAAAATCCTCTTTTATTCGTATCATGTTTACGTTGACTAGTGTAGATTCATGCTTGCCACAAAAGGCGACTGTGCTTGTCGTAAAAGGCGACTAACGGGATCAGGTGGTCAGGCTCGTTGACACATGACATCGGTTCCCAGTTGCGCAGATCGATGCTCATGCTGTTGATCACTGGATTGTCTGGTCCAGACTCGATTATTTACAGACCGCCGCCATATAGCTGGAATATTGCTGAGTGCGGCGTAAAACTAAACTCACTCATTATTCTCCATAGGACCACCAAAGGTGGTATAAGAGTGATTTACAAGGTATAAAAATGCAGTATGATGTGCAAGATGACAGTACATATAATGGGTACAACAAACACGATAGAAAGAGGCTATGACACTCTTGTTGCAATAATATTTATAAAGTTTGCAAGGGACTTCAGTTCCTTTCTTTTACGACCCGTGAAGATCCGGGGTAGAATAGGTCTTCAGCAACCCATGTGCTTGCCATAAAACGGCGACTATCTTGTCGTAAGAGGCGACTAACGGGATCGGGTGGTCAGTTTCGCTGACTTGGTTGACACATGTCATCGGTTCCCAATTGCGCAGATCGATGCTCATGCTGTTGATCACTGGATTGTCTGGTCCAAACTCGATTATTTACAGACCGCCGCCATATAGCTGGAATATTGCTGAGTGCGGCGTAAAACTATACTCACTCCCTCACTCCTTTCTTTTACTGGGTGAAAAGAGTAATTGAAATGAGTGGATGCTGGCATTTTTGGTATATTAAATTGGTATAAGATTCTTTCTATGACTTTCAAGTGATGTACAGCGAAACATGCAATGAAATTCGTCTGCTATGGCTGATGAATTACAAAGGTTGCAGGTTCTGTTTTCTTTTGGTGTATTGGTCCAGCCACCTTTTGCAATTGGTAGTTTATGATTTGTAGTTCTAAATTTAAGTAAGGGATAAGATACAGATTTGGTAGATAAAGGTAATTATAGTTGGTTCTTGAGCCCCTTCATTTGTGCAGGCTGCGGTTGGGTTGCCTGATGGTTAAAGCGGCGTAAAACCCACTCACTTCCCCAAAAAGGATATTTCCACTTCATTATCCTCTTCATCTACTTGAAATGTACGTTACCATCTTACGTATTCGCATGTTTTACCCTTAATACATTCTATATAGGTATCTGGAGTATCTCCCACAAGCTGCATGGCAAGTCTGTCTTCCACATGCACTAGGCTGTTGTGTTTGGGCGTTTGAATCAAACATGGTGTTGGTGTGTTTCAGCACCCCAGTTTTCCCGCTGTATATGAACAAATGGGTTTCTGTGTTCCCCTTACATTCTATGAGACAAAGAAACATTGATACAAAGTTCCACTCACCATGTGATCATATTTCGAGCGATACTATAGAATTTCATTCGCAGTTCTGCCACCTGATGACTCCATGGCACGTGGTTGGTCAAAACAGTGACGTTTGCAAAAGTATTGAGCTGAACAACGTCTGAATAAAAATTCCAAATGTACTGGTATCGTACATTTCTTTCTGTAAACAATTTCCCCATATCTATACAAACATGTTAAGGATTAAACACAAAATATTGATCTCGTGATAAGACCATTAATGTTCATAATTGTCATGCAAGTTAAATTTGGATATATTTTGTTTACTTTGATATTATAATAGTCACGTACCATACGCATTTGACAGGCCTAGTTCAAACAGGGACAGAGTAGACACATGCAAACTTTCAGGACCCGTCAAACTTCTTTTCACAGGTCTTTTTAATGGCTACCTCAAAACAGATGCGTCACACTCGCATATGTTTTAAACAGTGCCCCAAATCCATTATGAACTAAAGAAAGCTGACACGAATTTTCGTAAATTACAAACTTTTGACGGACAGGTTAGACTTGACAGTAAAGGTATTAACTTCCTGTTTAGTTTCTTTGATAGGCAAATGAAGCGTCAATCATAGCAAAATACTACCGGGTTATCTGTAATGAAAATTATATACTATCATACAGACAGTCCTTTAAGGTGTATATTCTATTTGCGGCACCAGTCACGTCTATTTCAAAATGAACAATCCATTGGATATATTTCATGTATTCCTGGCATGTGCTGTTTCAATATGTAGTAAGTTTAGTGACATGTTGCAAAATGCAAAAGAACCCACTAAAAAAGAAAACACGAAGTGAGGCGACACAAATGCGCCCTTTTATTGAGAATGAGTGGAACGCAAAATGTCCGATTTCTTTTTCATTGTGATGGGTTTAAAAGGATAAAAAACGACAAAAAATGAACGTGATTTTACATTTCAGAATGGTCGCGTGTGTAATAAACGAGTAACAGAATTCGACGTCGACGTTTGAGCAAGAGGTTGTAAGTGAATGATTTCAGTAGTTTAGATGTAGGACTACCTGTACACCTGGCCTATTGTCATTCTTACTCTGACAGCCAACGCGCCATACACTAAATCTCTACGAAGACAAGCAGGAGGCTGTTTCAGCATAACAATATAAATTTACAGAACGATCTCCTCAGTTGCCTCCCCTAGTCGACAGGTGGCGCCAAGAACTTCCGGGAGAGAACTGTCACCGAATTATTATAAATACATGTAGGGAACAAAAATGCCGTTATACGAAGGTCTTGCGTATGGTGGGGACAAAAACGTAGTTGTCGTTGACATTGGCAATGCCTATACTAAGTAAGTTACTTCTTACTTAAGAGCATGTGTGCACAGTAAACATAGTTTCTCCTGCTATCGGCGAATGAGGTAGTCAGCCCTGGAGGCTGGACAGTGTGTCTGTGTGTTGGGGGCCAAATGTAGATGTACTTGCAGACAAGTACGAATTCTCAACTGCTGCCAGTACATCAACTTATTTGTAATGAGCTATGCTGAACAGCATGGCTGGAATAGCATTGATGTCATTTACTATTTTTATGCTTATCAAAAGAACTTAGAAGATACATGTCTTTTTTGGTCTTTCATGTCTGCTGACCAACAACTCGCAAACATAGATCCCTTACTCAGTAAGTTACTGATGACTAGGACTGCAGCTAATCCATTACGAGGCGAATATGATATCTATCACAAATAATGGGCAACGAATATGAGGTGAGGTGAGGTGAAATTGGGTTTCTAACGTCGTGCTGGAGAATATTTCGCTCATATGACGACCTGCATGCGTGTGTATGTGTATGTACGGCTGCTTGTACTAGCCCAGACTCAAGCTGGTTTTATTGTGCTAGCCCACTGAGATACCATGCCGCAGTGAAGCATGAATACCCCTCTCAGACACATTATACTGACTCCAAGGCGACCAGTCCTTGTTGTACCCATCGATGCCGAGCGCCAGGCAGGGACCAACAAGTACCATATTTTAACGTCTTTTGGTATGACGCGGGCGGTCGGGCTTTCGGGGCAGATGCTCTAACCACTACACCACGGAGGCGGTTGGCAACGAATATGAATATTGGCTAACAGATACAATAAGAAGTCAGCAGATGATGATGATTATTCAGTACATTTCATGACCAATAACCTTAATTAAAATGGTTTTACCATGTTGACAGCATAAATTTATCATGACAATGACCGCTTTACTGTCAAATCCAATATATACGATTCTTGACTATCATCGTGACCAGTCTGGATCTATTCCATTTAGCATATCCTGTTTTATCACTTAAATTCAATTTAAAATACTCCCTTTGAAAAAAAAATCATGGATATTCAACTAGAGTGATCACAAATAACAAATTAAATTCATGAAGGGATACAGATGGATATACACCTTCTATCATTCTTATGGTTTAGGTTAGCACAGGTTAGTGAGATGTTTTATAGTCGTTCATGTGATCACAGAACTAACACAAATATTTCTTAGTGTCCAAAACTCCATAACTCGAGGAATCCAGGATACATGATAATAATCTCATGAAATATACAAATGGCAATATTAAAAATGCTTTAATGATAGTTTACATGTAATTGGTATTAGATTCAAACCACGCAATGAAAGTTGGTGCTTATCCTGATACTGTCAATACTGTATCATCCTCATCGAACTTTCTAAAGAGATTGGACTGGTTCATCTTATAGGTGTGGTCTGGCAGGAGAGACTGGTCCAAGGTGCATCATCCCCAGTGAAGTGAAGAGTTCCAGGACTGGGAAGGTAGAGAGTTACACAATGAGAGTTCATCAGTGATTACCCAAAGCCATCTAAACAAGGAATTGTACTGAAACATGAATTACCTATGACCAGGGAAGCAGAGCAGTGTGATGATATGATGTCTTGGTTCATTATGGGTACAGTGGTTGATATTGGTACTTATTAGCATCATTACTTTGCCTTTTGATACAGGATTTCAAAATTGTCATGCTCTCAGACTCCCAGTGAATCTTTGATATTTGTCATGCGCCTGTCACCACAGGAGAGTTTGCCATGGTTGAATTCCTTTCTCCCTCAAAACAAGACAACAACTATGAAACCATTTTATTTTAAAGTAATAATCGTAAAAATGATATACGGTACTTTCAAATTAAAGAAATGTTTCAGAATATTTGTGACAGTGTCTTGATCTGCACAATGCCATCATTACATTCAAAATAATTCAGACAAATCTGTAACTATGTAATTGTTTTGGTATTTTGTGTAAGGTTCATTACAGCACTTTCGCGTATACTACACTTCATGCTCAAGTGGACCCGTGAAGATCCGGGGTAGAATAGGTCTTCAGCAACCCATTCTTGTCATAAAAGGCGACTATGCTTGTCGTAAAAGGCGACTAACGGGATCAGGTGGTCAGGCTCGCTGACTTGGTTGACACATGTCATCGGTTCCCAATTGCTAAAACTAAACTCACTCACTCACTCATGCTCAAGTGTGTTTGGTGTGAGGTCAGTGCTAAATAAAAAATCATTCTTTTAACATGTTTTATAGGTGTTCAAACATTTTGAGAAAATATATCAGCTCTTCCTTATCGTAGGAAATCTTATCATAAGTTTTTAAACATAGCATCAAATAATGGGCTAGCAAATGACTGTATTTCTTGTATATAAACATGATAAAGCATATCTTTCATCAAGTAATTACATTATCAACCTGATCATGGATATATGCATGTATCTTGTGCTTCTGTTTCAGATTACAAAGCTATGGGATTACACATGTACAAGTGATTTACATGACAACCTGAAAGATTTTCTCTATGTGCTTTACTTTAAGTGAGTAACTAAGTGGTAGTTTCAGTGATTTGAGTTTACCAGTCAAACGTGTTCTACATGATGTCAGTTTTCTAAAGTATGATTATGTTTCTGGTTGCCACTACTGTCACTTTCAACAACCAGTGTTGGTCTGTTTCTGTTTTAATACTTTTATGTGAAGGCTTCTGTTAGCCAGGGGCAGATAACTCTAACTTGATTTCCAGCTAACTTAGTAACTGTATGATGCACAATGCCGCTCATGTGGTGTAGTTTATCTGTAGGTGAGGATTTTAAGGCCTTTGAGCTTGTCAAGTACAGTTCAGACATCACACTACAGAGAGTTTGGGATACAACTATGTTTTTATGATCCAGCATACACAAATTGTGCAGGGTTGGTGAGTCATGCAAATTAGCTTGTGAAAAACAACAGAAACTATGCCATCACATTATTTTGGGTCAAGCACCAGCAGTAAGCACCAGAAACACACTCTTGATGGATAGATGTATGTGTCCTCACTGAGGGTTAATATACTTCACATGCAAGTTGAGTAACATTAACTGTAAGATTTATAACACTGGTGAAGACCCGCGAAGGTCCGGGTTAGAATGAATCTTCAGTAACCCATGCTTGTTGTAAGATTTGACTTTAACGGGATCGGGTGGTCAGGCTCGCTGGCTTGGTTGACACATGTCATTGGTTCCCATTTGCGCAGATCGATGCTCATGCTGTTGATCACTGGATTGTCTGGTCCAGACTCGATTATTTACAGACCGCTGCCATATAGCTGGAATATTGCTGAGTGCGGCGTAAAACTAAACTCACTCACTTTTATTTATCAAGCGCTGTGTACTAACATGCATGCAACATTCTTCTCAAACAGTTGTTACGACTAAGTATTGACATGTGCATGAAACCTGTCAGTGAGGCGGGGCCGTGCGGTAGCCTAGTGGTTTAAGCGTCCGCTCGTCACGCTGATGACCCGGGTTCAATTCCCCACATAGGTACATTGTGTCAAGTCCATTTTTGGTGTCCCCGGACGCGATATTGATGGAATATTGCTAAAAAGCGGCGTAAAACCAAACTCACTCACTCAGTCACTGTAAGTGACGCTAACTTGGTTATGTTGAAATGTTTGCTTCCAGGCACTTGTTGGTGAATCCTAAAGATCGCCGTGTTGTGGTGGTGGAGTCTTTATTGTGTCCATCAACTTTCCGAGATGCCCTAGCCAGTGTACTCTTCAGACATTATGAGGTTTGTGTATTTTAGTAACGATGAAAAGGTTTAGAAGAGTGTGTGGCTGTATCGTTTGTTTATGAGTGTGTCGGTGTGTTTGTTTAGTGTCTGTGAGAGATGGAGGGGAAGAAGATTATAAATTTCCTTGATAACCATGTTAACAAGCTCAAGAGTTCAGGTACAAATAAAGAAAATGTCACTTGCAAAAGTTAAATTCTGAACAATATGGTGCCAATATTTTGAATTGCCAGTTATTTTGAAATCTGACATACATGTGATTATGGCGCTGTGTTCTTGCCAGGCAAGCTCCGTGCTGTTTGCTCCGAGTCATATGGCGTGTCTTCTGGTGCTGGGGACGAGCACCGGGATGGTGATGGACATTGGCTACAAGGAGGCGCTGGTCATACCTGTATCCTTCTCGCTGCATAGCACAGCATGGCTCCACCCAATTCTGTTGCGCTTCTTCATGTTCTTGGTCTTTATTACGCCTGGAAGAATAACGCAGAATTATTCTTCAGTTTGGTGTCAGGTTTCTTCAATTTGCGCCACACATTCCGTACACATTTTAATGCTCAAAAAGAAGAATGTAATAAACATGACAATGGAACTTTCTTTGTAAATAATTGTCATGCTCAGTATTTCATTAACAGAAATTTTGTAGCTTGGATATTTTTTTACTTCACCTCAGTGCTCAGGGGTTCTTGAATCCTTAAATCCATAAGGCAGTAGATTTGTCAAGTCTAATCACTTAAAACATGGCAAATGGTAGCAAAACAAATATAGTTATTTTCTTACTGTTTGCCTCTTTAATGCATATTTATTTACATATTTATTGACATTAATATGTATCTAGTAATGTATAGATATCTTGGTACATTAGATTTGTCGTGATGAATGCTATACAATAATGTTTCTGAGGACTGAATATGCTGATACGATTCCATCCACATTTGTTACAACACCCTTGACCAGGTGAAGGTATATGAAGGAATTCCAGTGCTCAAGGCATGGCAGTCCATTCCTTTTGGAGGGAAGGCAATTCACAGGTGAGTGATTTAGATTTATCTTAGAAAGATAGTAAATGATGCAAAATAATGCAAATTAATCAGTTTAGAATTGTGTTGTTACCAGGCATTGATTTCATGCATCATTTACTGGAAATGATCGTGAAGATCTGTGATAAATTTTTACCAGTTATGACGGTGTTGTCTAACAGTTAATAAATCTTCAGGGGTTTGGAGGGGTAAATGATGTTCATGTTGAGTATAACAAGTTAAAATACAACATATTCATAATGTTAGGGTTACACTATATTCCCGCTGGCCACGGGAGCCCCATTTCCCCGAAACATAGTGCGCTTTGGGATTTTGGCCATTTGTTTCCTCCAAAGTCAAGTTTTGTTAGTACCTGATAAGTTTTCTCTCAGTCTATCATGGCATCCGTACTGGGCTATTTGGAAAAACGAGCTGCTGAGCCCCCGAAGCTCAAAGGCGTACTACAGTTCAGCCCGCAGTCCACTGCAGATGCCATTACGTTTCCTCCCTTCCTGTCGCGTTCGGATGGGTTCCCTCACGTTTCTCATGTTTTGATCAAGGTTTTGACGTGTTTTGCACGTTCTGTCAAGACTTTCTGTGAAACGTGGACGCCAGCCAGCTTTGGACCACATTTGCGCCCACAGTATGAAAATAAGGCCTCCCAAGCAATTGCAGCCATTGTATCCTGAGACACAAGAGCAGCATAAAACCCTTAAGATGAAGAAGCTTCTGGGTTATACATTGTGTCCTTACGTCAGCAAGAATTCCTAGCATCATCTGCAGAGAAAAAACTGCCAGAGAACGCAACATGCCATATCTCGCCTGCCCTGTAAACTGTCACACGCCTGGATGCATCGTAATAGAGTGGGACGAATCGGCTACCATACAATCTAGCTTACTGTGAGAACCCGGACAAAACGGGCATTAAGGGTAAAACAACCGTGACAAAGTGCCTAACAAACATGGCCGAACATGACAAAACTTGAAAGGACCGTGAGATGCCGGGGAATACACATGCCTCCCATCTCACTACGGACCATCTACAAGTTTGTTACAGCCTATTATGTGCTGTCTCGTTTTGTTGCATTCCCCTCGTTTTACTACGGCGTACTAGGTTTTTCATTAGTACCGCGACTGCTTTGTCAATTTTTTTAACAGTTTAAAAATATGGCACGCCATCCACGGCAATCACAGACTGTCATGTTTGCTCATTCACTCCCCCCACGTTATCTCATGCCCATCCCATTTTGTCCCTGTTTTGGCGAAACGGGGATGCCGTGGCCGCTGGGATCATTGTGTAACCCTAGCATTACACAGAAGCTTCAGAGGCCTATTGCTGTTTCAATGTGTCTTGTTGATCAATTGTAGTCATGTTCGTGTAGCATAGTAAGGAATGGTCTTATTCAGTTTTTGCATTTTTTGAAATTATTATGTACATTATGTGATTTTTTTGGTACAGATACAAAAAAGAATTTCATGTTTTTTGTGTTCACAATTACGAATGATTGTTAATTAATCATGGGTTAATCCTCATATGTATTTTTTGACCAGTGATTTTTCTTCAACTTTTACCAATTTTTAAAACCGAATCAGTGATCACACACATGGTATTCAGTGCCATGATGTTCTGATCGATTTATTCTGATTTATAGTGGGCAAGAAAGTAAGTAACAAAAAGATTGGGATCACATGTGCCTTGTATTCAATGAAACCCTGTCTCTAGAGGACTCCAGAGGATCCAAGCTTGGAATGTCCACATACAAAGGGACATTACTCTGTATAACTGTTCAGTCACTCACTCTTCCAAATTGCCAAACTGAATATTTGTACATCCCTGCATTGAGCAGTGTATAAACTACAGCTCGTCCCAGCGTCCTTGACGGTCCATTTTTGTGAAGGACGGTCTGTTAAATAAGTAAGGTCGTCCTTTGGTCGGGGGAAATATTTGAAAAAATAAACTTAACTTGGTTTGAATGAAGTGTTTTTGTTTTGGGGACTGGCTGTGTTCGTTCAGGACTGGTAATTTTTTGGGACAGCCAGTCCTTGGACAGGCCACATTTTGAAACTATTTTATACCGGTACACTGCATTGAGCTCGGTTGATCTGACTGAGTGGTTATCATTGAAAGCCTCATTTACTGTTTGTTATTCTGTCGTCTCGCGAAACTGTCCAGCAGTTACATGATTTTTACAATATGGTTTCCATGGTTACCTTTCAGCCAAATCGAGGCCCAGTTGAAGGAACATGCTACTGTGACCACGTCAGAACAAACCAACAAACCCTTCACCTCCTGTGCAGGTTCGTGTCCAACAGGCATTGAGAGCCCATTGCATTGGTTCTTGAAGTCCTTGGGGATGATTTGAATTGAATTGAAATAAAGGATACTAAAATAGCCTGAATTAATGGATTTTAACAGTTAACATAATTTCTGTTTTGATTGATTGCAGTGGTTTGAGCATCAAATCTGCTTGATCATTGCAAACAATACACAATAAATACCATTACGACTTTGGTGCTTGTGTACAAATGTGCATGAAAAAACAATTTGAAACAATGATTTTATCTTCTCATTGATGAAAAGTATACTCAATACCCAGTGTGATTGACAATTTTAGTTAATACTCAGTTGATAGATATATTTTTGGAGCCCTCGTGCCTGCGTCATGGCCTAACAGAAATGGGTTTTGTTTTCAGATGATCTGAATGAAGAAGTTTTGGAAAATATTAAAGGTAACAATACATTTAATGCTAACAATGCCCTGGTTCTCAAGCGATGCTGGGGATTTTTGTTGGGAGTTAAACATTATTCCTTTTACATTGTTTTATGCTATAAGACATTCAAAATATTCCAAGGAGCTGACAACATCTTGGGGAACCGCAATAATGTATTGTTTTTGTAAAACTAAATTTTCATACAACGTAACAAATACATAAAGTAATGTTTTAAAATTTGTTAAAAACTGATCATCCTGAAGGATTACTGCTTTGGATTTTATGGTTATTCATTAGTGTTTATGCTGTATGAGATTCATTGAGAACATTTGCATTTCTAAATAATTATTGGAGTACCCTGTTTACCAGTTAGAGTTGTTGGAAGTTTTCGTGATATTAATGGTGAACATTCTCTGTAATGATTTGAACTGTTTTCAGTGCAATGTTGTTTTGTGACAAGCCACAGTCGAGCCAAGCAGATTCAGGATGTCCTTGTAAAAGGAGCAGACATAAACAAGGTAGAAGCTATGAACATAGCTGGTTTGTGTTTTAAACATCAGTTCTGAGATGTCAATGTCCTTATATGATGTAAGTTGTATTTGCAGGAGCATGAACAAGCAGAGATAGCATCAATTCTGTGACAGAATAGGGAAAAGTCCTTATATGCTACAAGTTGTATTTGCAAGACTGACTGACTGACTGACTGACTGAGTTTAGTTTTACGCCCCTTTTAGTAATATTCCAGCAATATCACAGCGGGGGACACCAGAAATGGGCTTCACACATTGTACCCATGTGGGGAATCGAACCTGGGTTGTAATTGCAGGAGTATGAACAAGCAGAGATGACATCAGTTCAGAGGTGGAATAGGGAAATGTCCTTATATGCTGCAAGTTGTATTTGCAAGAGCATGAACAAGCAGAGAAGAGCACTAGTAGCATCACTGCGTACTGTGATTAGTGAAGTGTTGTGGAATGTTGTTGAATGTCCATTCTCAGCATAGTGTCTGAAGTGACCTCAAAATGAAACTCAGGTGGTGGAAGGGTCCAGGGTATACTGGTATATTATTATAGAGGTGAAATATGATACACTGGAGAATTGAGGAGTATTTTTTTAAATAAAAATAATGGCCATTTATAAAGTGCCTGTTTCCACACACTTGTGTATGCTCAAAGCCCTAACACATTATAACCCAAGATAACCCAAGCTGCCTGTTAGGTGCTAGAAGGTTATAGTCACATGACTTATCCCACTGGGTACCCATTTTCTGCTAGGTAAACAGAGGCAATTTTAACAAACTTACTCGCCTTAGGTGAGACCACATGTATCACATGTGTTTCGTTGGGGGGCAGGACTGAAGTCCTAGAAACTCTCAGGAGTAAAGCTGCCAAACAAGGTCACCCATCCCAGGACTCTCGTGGCAAACATTGCTGAACTTCTACTGATTTGTGACCTGAGCTCTATGCACAGGATCACACAGCACCACTTCACTTTGGCTTCACTTATGATGTGTTAGCTGTATCCATTATTAAATTAGAGTGAGTGAGTCTAGTATGCTGCTTTCAGCAATATTCCAGCAATATCACGGCAGGGGACTCCAGAAATGGGCTTCACACACTGTACCCATGTTGGGAATCGAACCTGGGGCTTCAGTATGACAAGCAAACGCTTCAACCACAAAGCTACCCCACCGCCCGTTTTAAATTTGGATGAACTTAATAGAAGTGTGTCTTTACTTCTATTATTATATGTGATTGTCAAGAAATAACAGTGAATTATATCATGTGTACATTCCCATGTTGAAACAATAAGTTAACCTAAAATCTCACTTTACAAAACACTACAAAGGAAATACAATGGCAATTCAAAACTGTTCAAATTTGAGTGTAGTTCAGATTCACAGGCAGTACAAATACAGTGACAATAAAATATAGAAGCAGTGATTGTAACTTTGTAGACCATGATGATAATCTTAACCTCGATGAAGCTTCCAAAATAGACCTATTTGCTTTGCAGCGAAAATAATGTGAAACAAATATAAGACTGTTTTACAATGATCGAATAACACTGTCATATACAAAGGTTAGGTGAGGTGAAATTGGGTTTAACGTCATACTTGAGAATATTTCGCTAATAAGACGACGTACATGCGTGTGTATGTGTATGTGCGGCTGCTTGTACTAGCCCAGACTGAAGCTGGTTTTATAGTGCTAGCCCACTGAGATACCATGTCGCAATGAAGCATGAATACCCCACTCAGACACATTATACTGACCCCGAGCCGACCAGTCCTTGTTGTACCCATTAATGCCGAGCGCCAGGCAGGGACCAACAAGTACCATATTTTAACGTCTTTTGGTGTGACGCGGTCGGGGATCGAACCTGCGACCTTTCACTCTCCGGGCGGAAGCTCTAACCACTACACCACGGAGGCGATCTTCATATACAAAGAATTTCCATACTTGTTTATAGGTTGCATAGTGTTTTATGTCAGATATCATGGGCATTGCAGACCTTGTCAAGTAAAACAATAATTTTCTACCGTTGTCAGTTGCCAACGCCTCCTCCAGATGTAGACTACCCACTGGATGGGAAGAAAATATTACACATCAATGGTAAACTCAGGTATGTATGTAGATTTAGACAGAAATAGGACCAACTTGATTAAAGGGGTGGAACGATACTGTTGTAGGGCCTCCATGATCTAGGGTTGGACAGATGTCAGTACAGTGACAGTCTTCTGTATAGATGAGGTGAAATGGTGCTTCATGTTGCTGTGAAGATTACTTCACTTGTAATCCAATGTGCATCTACCTCTGTGACTTGCAGTGTTTTGTGGTGCTAGCCCATCATGGCATAGTTTAACATGGGTCCTCAACAGACACATCATACCACCTTCTGTGCTTGACCAATGTAACAAGAACCATCTTCTGGTATGACACAGCCTGTTGATTGGACCTGAGACTTTCTACTATCTTAATATAGGACTATACTGCCTCACTAATATCTATGGGAATTAACCTGGTAATTTTTTATATGTTTTCTCTGCAGAGAACATGTTTGTGAGATTCTGTTCGAGCAAGACCGTGATGAAAGATCGGTGGCTACACTCATCCTGGATGCTTTGATTGAGGTCAGTAACAAATCATCTCTAAATGCATTCCCTGACTGTAAAACTGGTGTGTTTCACATCTGTTCAACCAGGGGAGTGAAAAGAGTAAAACTTTTAATTTTTAAAACTAAAGCTGTTCACCTACTAAACTTCTAAACTGTAAATCGTGAAATTAATGCGAGCATTTTATTAATGCGAAAAATGCGTCTGTACTCCTCTCGCATTATTATAATGACGCATTTCAGTCTGACCATGTCTACTTTTGAGAACTTATTAAAAGACAGAAAACTTAAATCTGTTGACAATACACATTACACCAATACAGGTCACTTCCTCATTACAGTGTGAAAAGAAAAGAACACCAAAGATTCAGGATGTCACATTTTATCATCAACACAGATTCCTGAGCTCGCATTAATTTTGTGACGCATTTTTGACTAGACCCTTGCACTCGCATTAAATTCGTGACGCATTAATTTCATGATTTACAGTATCAGGTTTTCATTATATGATGTTTATACATACCAGCTGAAGTGAATTGTAATAGATTAAGCTTGAAGTGGGTAAACATGGCAGAGGTGGTGGAAAAGTGATAGAAGATTTTCTTCTAAAGCAGAATGAAGAGTTTTAATGTTTAAAGATTTCATTATAATTGTTAGGATCTGGTAAGGCTATTGTTTTCTGTGTATTATTGGAAAATCATCACTATAAGTTTATGATGCAAACAGCTGCAACATTTCTCATGGCCATGAAGTAGTAGTAATACTCATTCATTATTCGTCATAGGTATTGGCTTGAAGTTTGTGTTGCAATCTTTGAAATGATTCATGTTCTGATGTACATATCACAATGTGGTAGATATTACAACAATTACTGTAACTTGTTCCAAACCTAAACCTGTGAAGGTCCGGGTTAGAATGAGCCCTCAGTAACCCATTCTTGTCGTAAGAGGCGACTAACTGGATCAGGTGGTCAGGCTCGCTGACTTGGTTGACACATGTCATTGGTTCCCAGTTGAGCAGATCGATGCTCATGCTGTTGATCACTGTATTGTCTGGTCCAGACTCGATTCTTTACAGACCCCTGCCATATATCTGGAATATTGCTGAGTGCGGCATCAACCTAAACTCGCTCACTCACTGTTACAAACCTAAACCTAAATTGCCCAGTACACAGGACAGCAATTTATGACAACTTCCTTGTTTCAAAATGGACACGTTATGTAAACCACATGTTCATACTTCTTGGTCTTAGGATTCAAGTTGTTAGTTTCTGAATTCATAATTTCAGCTTCCATTGACACTAAACATAATTTTGCTGACAAGATGGATATATGCATGATTTTGAAAAATGCTGTAGACAGATATTTTCCAAGGTATTGTGATTTTCATCAGTACTTCATGGTACACCATAATACCTCTCACTATGTGTTGACTATGAGAGGAGGTCATTAGTTAACATGTCATCATTATGAACAAGTTAGTTTAACTACAGCTAAAAATATCTTTTAAAACATGAGTCAGTGATTGTAACTAATTTTGCAGTGTCCAATTGACCTGCGTCGCAGCCTGTCTGAAAATATTGTGGTAATGGGTGGAACTGCCATGCTGCCAGGGTTCCATCACAGGCTGAGGGCGGAGTTGTACGAACTTCTGCAGAAACCCAAGTACAAGGACGCCATTGCTCTCAAAGTGTTTAAGTTCCACAAGCCTCCATCAAGAGAGAACTATACTGCCTGGCTTGGAGGTGAGACTTACTGAATGCTTGGCTGATGTCATATGGAAAGTTGTGTTCAGTTGTCCTGACCTTCTTGAAATACAGGAATGATTACTTGTTGACGAAGATAATTGGCAGATGTCTTCTTGAAATGTTTTATGAAGTGAACTCTTGTATCATTTAAATGGGAATTATGTTAGTAGTTAATTAAATGTAACTGAAAGTGTATAGCCTTTTCAGGTAAACAGTAAGTTGAGTCAGAATTCACATCAGCTAGTGATTGATCTCTAATATAATTATTAATTGTTCTCGTCACGATATGGCCGAAATATTGCCGATGTGACGATACATATTAACTCACTCACTCACATCAGTTAGTGACCAGTCCAGCTAAGGAAGGTGTAGTGACATTGCCGTGTGACATGCAGCTGCTATCATGAGGTAGATAACAACTCACGACTGGAATATATTTGTGATATTGTTGAAAACACAAAATTATCTCAACCTTGTATAATATGACCAGTATTTTAACGAAGCGTGTGACTTTATGGATAACAACTTATTGCATAGTGACGTTTCGATGTAGATTGTATCAAACTTGATAGTTGTGTAAGAATATACACTAGGGCTGTGTAATATAACCGGTTTACCGGTATTTACCCGTTCAGACATGAAAATGATACGTATTGCTATACGCTGATCGAAAACCGGTATTTTGACTTGCATTCGGAAAACTTCGTAACACTCGAAAATCTTCGGATATTTCCTTTTTTTATTTGTGCCAAATATTCACATTTTTATTTTTAATCATGAATGAAAGTTGTTATTAAAGCTTAATCAAGCATAGTGATTTTGCTGTGTATTTGCTCTATAAATCAGGCATTACCCCGATTATAAGTATTTTTTGTGTGTAAAACTACTTCACGCAATATATTGCAATACATATCGCAATACATGCTTTCACATCGCAATATATTGCAATATGAAAATTCTCTGCAATACCCACCCCTAATATACACTCAAACGTCACTCTATGGACTAAACAAGAAGTTGTCATCCATTAAGTCGTGTGCTTCATTATTGACTCACCAACTTCTAGAATGCTAATAAAACAATAACAGATGAAATGAGACCCACAAATCACTGATACATGATGTTGTCTCTCTGTGCCAGGTGCTGTAATAGGAGCATTAGAGACCCTCCAGAGCAAGTCCATGTCAAGGGAGATGTACCTCCAGACAGGCAAGGTGGCAGACTGGTGTAACGTTGCCCAAGAACCTGAGACAGAAGACCACTCACCTGTAAAGGCTAAATAGTTCCCTGACTTCCACACTGGTGAACTGTGCACATTGAACAATTCTCATAAGTCACCCTGACAACTGTGATGTCATGCTTTGTGAAGTGTATGGTGCTGTCCTGTTTGCGAGTTGTTGTCATTTATGATGACATTGTGTAATGCGAACATGGGATGAAATACTTCAATCACTGCAAGTAGTATTACATCTGAAGCATCATTTTCTATTTATTTATTGAATCATGGGTCAAGTGTAGACATGGTACCTAAGTTGGTTTTTTAAATATATTTCCTTTTGGCTAATTACAGAGTAGGTGCTGGTTTATATTATTAATGTAGACGTCCCAACCATAAACATAAAAAACAAAGTCCAAAGGTATTTCTGTTTTTGCAAGTATAGAAACTGTTGTGCTGAAGTATGAGGCTTACACTTTCCTGCCTAATTTATCCTTTTTCTTCGCAGCTTAAAACATACATGTATTGATAAATTCTGTACAAAGTGCAATATACTATTATGGTAACTTTGACTTGCTTGTTTGTGTTGAAAAACTTTGATCACCACCGATGCTTCATCCTGTGTTAGTGGTCGGTGACCTGCCTAAGTTGCCAGGCTAGTGACCCCAGCGAGCTTGAGGTGCTGGGATCGAGCCCACCTGTGACCGGGTGTAAAAACCTTGGAGTCAACTTTGTGTGCAGACACAGTGTTGTCACAACCCCTAGTGTACAGTACACAACCCCTAGTGTACAGTACACAACCCCTAGTGTACTGTACACAACCCTGTACACTTAAAGGAATTCAAGAATCCATTGGTAAATGACCAGATGGCAGCCACATGAATACTTCCAAACACCTAGTTGCCGGTAGAGCAACGTGCAGTAAACTTGGACAAAGTACTGTGACTATGTGTCCCAGTCTACCCAGCTGTGAATGGGTACCTCGTAAGGATGGGAAAGCCACATTAACTCATGAGTTGAACCAGGGTACCCGTCTCAATACCATGATTGAAAGGTTGTAATTACAGTCACATCTTTTGAATATAATACATGGTTAAGATATTGAAAAACTCAGAAATTTTAGCCTCCCAGCTGAAGAATATATTGCCATTTTGTACAAATTTGATGTCTGGAATTAACATTACCGGTATCCGGGTAGGGTAGGGTAATAGGGTGTGGGGTACCCAGGTAGAAAATATGGACCCGTCCCAGCCCTATTCACTACGTACGTCCATAAAGCCAATTTATCCACAAAGAACACACTTGTTGGTGTGTTATATGGGTGTGTTTTGGACATAAAGTAACACATCTGAAGTTGCATGTGTGTTTCTCGCTGCTTGTACTGTACAGACACATTCCAGCTATGGTGCCACCACACTGAGATACCATGGCATTTAACATGTTTAAACTATTCGGACACACCATAATGACTCCAAGTTGATCAGTCCATATCATCTTCATGTTGTGCACCATTTTTTGGTGTGACGCGGTCAAAAATATAACTACTGTCAAACCGCTCTTCGGGCTGATGCTCAATATACTGGACCGACCGGATGATGTAAGTTTTTTGCCACATGGAATATAAATCTTGTGAAACATACATCATTGGTATTCCACCCGTGAAGGTACGGGAATATTGATCTTCAGTAACCCATGCTTGTCGTAAGTGGCGGCTAACGGCATCGGGTGGTCAGGCTCGCTGACTTGGTTGAAACATGTCATCGGTTCCCAATTGCGCAGATCGATGCTCGTGTTGTTGATCACTGGATTGTCTGGTCCAGACTCGAATATTTACAGACCGCCGCCATATAGCTGGAATATTGCTGGGTGCGGCTTAAAAGTAAACTCACTCACTCACTCATTGGTATTCCAATTATTATCCGCGTTCAGCATCATTTAGCACTCCCACTGACATTTCAAATATAATCATGAATAACAGTAAAAAGTCAGATAGGAGGTAAACACAGTTTTAATAACCCAGCATGTTCAGTATGTACAGACATGTTGACACCACAACGTGGTTTTATAGCGCCAATAGATATACAAGCTTTATGTAAAACAACACATATATACATCAATAAAAGCGAGTTAACCAATAGGTCTATAATTAAAAAATATGTATCACCAATATCATTATAAGAAAAACCTTCAGATTACACTTACACAACACCACTATGTACCTCGCCTTCCTTGACCTATTTATACATGCGTTGTATTCTGAGTAAAGCTTTATGAACACTTTGAAATATTTTGTTGTCCCTAATATGTACATTTAATCACAGTATCAATGTTCATGGCAATATTTATCAAATTATGTTGCATTATATATTTCCCCCACAGCAGAACAGAGTTAATAACATGAATATCTATACAAAAATCATCGAAATCCGATCCTTCAAAGACAGTGAAACATTTTCCTCAGAAGGTGAAGAAACTTGGAAATTCGGCGTCCTTTCTCGCCCGTCTGCGTGGAGGTGGCTGGATCGAGCGGCTGCCTGTCGCTTCCTCTCCGTCTGGAATGGTTTGCATCCAACGCCGGTCTTCTCCATTAGAAGAAGGGGGAGCATTGTTCCTGTCATTGCATTCTCCAAGGCGTCGCTGCTCAAAGTAATCGTAGAGATGACGCGGCTTTAACCAGGTTGGTTCTGCCGGCGTGGCTGGCCGCCTACAGACCCCAGGAGCTGGCTGGTTGGAGGAGGCCGTGCCCGTGCAGCCAGAGTTGATTCCACCTGTATCAGAAGCCGTTCTTGCCGGGGGATCTTTCATGCCATCACTTAAAGCAGAGTCAATTATCTGTTGATCTGAGCTGGCCTTATTTGCTTCCATGCTAAGAGCCATCACGCGGTTGTGATATGACCGCGGGCGTGTCTGCATAGCTTTTTGTCCAGCCATGTAGTTGCTCTCTATTTCATCGATGTCCTTTAGAATGGATTCGTCCAAATCTATTGGTTTCTTTTTCTGGGAAATGATATCCTTCTTAGCATGGCTTCCTGGACTGAAAACGTCATTGTGTGTGATCTCCCTCACGCATTCGTCTCGCCACATACGAGCGATAGGAATATCCTCAAATCTTTTCGTTGACGCCTGCCTGCTGTCTTGGATTGTGCTTCTGCAAAAGGACCCGGCGCTGCCAGATGCAGACAGTGGTGATCGCTCATGTTCGCGCTTCCTTTCAGGGACAGACTGCTTGCAGAGGGAGCGGGTCGTATTCATGGTGTTATTCTCTTGCGAACACTTCAGATGTTTGTTTTTCAAAGCACATGTGCTCCTCACTGGCCGCGAATTGTTCGGGGTTAGAACAACCTTATTTGTTCGAACAACAGGCTTACTTGCACACTTTGGCGTAACCGTTGCTTTACTTGGAATGATTTTAGTCTCTGCTAGTTCTGATTTGATGGATGTATGTTGCACAGGGTCGCAGCAAGTCTTCCCCTTTCTCGGGGCTTGCTCTTTTCCAGCGGCCGCACCCATCACGCGGCCTGTACGGCTGTCACCATCAAGAGAATGAATCAGGATTGTGGTGACGTCATCTTAGCAACAAGGCACAGAGGGGTGACGTCATGAATCAGGATGTGACGTCTTATACAATAACAACGACGTCACGATGAATACATGTAACAGCCACTGCCGATTGTGTAGAATTATCAGTTCCACTGATAAATTCTTGGCTGTGAACAGTTTGATCATCTGTTGTAATGGGGTCCGCGTCTTCAAAGGAAGGCGAGACTTCTAGAACATCTGAATTAAGAAGGGGCATTGATTATGGTGCTGTGCAAGTGTATAGTCTTGATTCTGAGAGCGATACCATCGTCGAAGGATTTGTGAATACTCTGTCTACAGGTAACAGATCTATTGATGAGATTAGAAACAAAGATGCAATCTCTGATGTGACTCTCGTGGCAACCAAACCGTGCGTATCCAACGTTCATGAACAGACACCGCTGAGGAATACAGCCAAATTAGTTTTGGATAAAGGGGGCCGCCGTGCCTCTCGTTTTGGAAAGGATAAGTGTTTGGTTGGACTTGAAAACCATCGGAGGGTTGGATCCCCTCAGCTGTTAATGGCAGCGAGAGAAAGCTACGGCCATATTAAGGATGCAGCAGACCTGTTGTGGATGTCTCCGAGTCCAGTTCCAGCAGAAGGGAATATCTTCGCTGGTACGTCATCTAGTACTCACGAAACAAACAAAGGAGAAGTCACGAACCAGAATATATTCCGAGAAGTGTCAGACAAAACACTCAAAGTAAAAGACCCAGCAGGAATGTCAGGTCCTTTAAAGAATTGTGAAGCTGGGCATGTTCCTAGTTCTCCGTTACTGGATCATCACTTATCTGAAAAGAGAGAATCCGGAAGGGACAGAATTGGTTTGAATACCCCCCCACCTTGGTTGATGTGTGATTCATCTTCTAGTGTACAGCACAAACGTCCACACGAGTTGGACCACATCTTACAATATCCGAAATTGCCTTCATGTGACTATCCGATGGGCACTTTGCCAGAAAAGACCTTTGGTAAATTGGGGCCTTCACTGGGACCTCTGAGATATGGCAAGCTAGGACTACAAGGGGGAGCTATCCGAAAAGAGCTCGAGAGGGAGGGAATTCTCGGAACTGGAGCCGACGACCAGCAGAACCCGGACGTGGTCCTTCGCGAGCTGCGTCAGATGGGGATTGTTCGACAAACAAGCTGCGGCACCAGCTATGACCTTGATTTTGACGAGGACGCTGGTCCACACGCTGCTCGTGCATCAAGACTGCCGCCAATCGAAATCGAGGCTTTGAGGCGGAAACTAGAGGAAAAGGAAAAACGTCACGACGAGCAAGTGCGAAAGAATGAGATTGAGCGACAGGAGAAGGTTGAAAAGTTCAAGGAACGGCAGAAATCTGCCAAATTTCGGCGTCAGCAAATTCAGCAGAATCCTAGTGTGGCGGAGTCGCCGACGGAGGCCGAGAGACTGAAACTAAAAATGTTGGACATGGAATTACAATAATACTCGTTATCTGAATGGTTCCTGGGTCCTTACAAAGGTTTTGTCTGCTAACACATGCACTATTTTTATTTCTTTGGCTACCCTTTTGAAAGGGACTACAAAGACACGAATTGCCAAAGCTCCGCAAGTTCCATAATGAAAGAGTAAGTAGTTTGATGCATGACCGCTTAGGCTGGTTCCGGGATGTCTTTACGCTGCATCAACGTACACATTTGCTACACCCCTAAATGACCTTTCATGCTGCACTATCAATAATGCCATATTTTGGATTTAGTTTCCAAATACAAGTATAACTCATAAAAGAATAAAACAACGACCCTTGCAACCCTGTTATCATTATAGCTCTTAACAAGCCGGAATACTGCAGTGTTCCCATCGTATTGAGGAATCTGTAGTGTAACACCACGGAATACTGTCATTGTCCTCCGTCAAGCACCTGTTCCCAGCCTCCTCCATAGTGGTGATTGTTTTCATGTTGCTAGGCGAGTCGTTCATTCCGCGGTGTTCATGGGGCGTGTGGGAGTCCCATCGCTGACATGTCTTGCCGCTCTTGGTCACATTGTGCGTTCCTCTGTAGAAAGCCTTTGCTCCTTCAAACTGCACACACAGCTCACCTTGACGGACGAAACTGAAGGTTAGGACACATCGAATAATAAGGGAATGAGGGTTTTCTCCTGTCAACATGTTCATGAGTAAGTGAGTTTATTTTTACGCCGCTTTTAGCAATATTCCAGCAATATCACGGCGGGCTACACCAGAAATGGGCTTCACACATTGTACCCATATAAGGGATTTGAACCCGGGTCTTCTGCGTGACGAGTGAACACTTTAACCACTTGGCTATCCTACCGCCCCACATGTTCATGAAGGTGAGCGAGACAGGCTGTTTGCGGTTTCCAACAGTATTTCAGTTATATTACACCTACCAGTTTAACATCGGGTGTGTGAGATTAGGTTTTACGTTGCTTTTAGCAATATTCCACCAATATCACATCGGGGGGCACAATATATTGGCTTCACACGTTGTACCCATGTGGGGAATCAAACCCGGGTCTTCGGCGTGACAAGCGAACGTTTTAACCACTTGGCTACCCCACCGCCCCTCCACATGTCATTAATCTCAAAGTAAGACCGCCTTCGAGCTCTCGCAGAAAGAGAGGAACTTGAGTTGGTTCGGACGCCGATTACGTCATACCAAAAGACGTAAATGACTCAACTTATTGTTACCCTGCCTGGTGATGGGCCTTACCACTGGTAGGGAACTTGGTTACAGTGAGAGTGGAGTCTTTGTGATTTTAGCATCAGCAAGGGAAGGGTAAGGTAAGATAAATGGCCTGTATACCTACGAAATCAATATTACAAGAGTTGATATGTACGGGATTATTTTCGCTGATAAAACAGCCCATGCTTTATGATGAAAGGGGATAAACCCTAATTGGAACACTTTGTATTATTTTTACACTTCTTTATGGGGTCATTTGTCATAATATACCGATTATTTATCAAAAATTATTAATTTCATGACAATTAATGGTTTTACAAGATTATCGGTAGCTTTCTGAGCAACATAAATATTTACTTGTTACAGATGGGAACCTAATGTAAGTAACTGTGAATTCAACTCTCCTGTAATACTGATTTTGTAGGTATTCAGACCATTTATTGTAAAAAATAAAATAGTGCGTTTGGCTCAAGAGCGGACCGATGAATTGCAATCTAACTCAAAAACTAATAAACATATAATACTCAATGAAACGCTGATCATAATAAAAACGTCAGACCAACTCGGTGATTTGTTTGCAGAATTTATGTCCTAAAAATTAAAAAAGTTGTTTAACAAACTATCATTAAAATATTGACACAGTTCACTATTTGTTACGAGGGAGGAGTGCAGAAAAGGAACAGCCAGGTGTCAGAGAAGCACGGGCACAAGTGCCGACAAAGTTATTGATTCATTAACCTGTGCTGTGCCGTCTCCATCCTTTCTCGCACACCCGTCTATGTTAAAGTATGGGACGATCACCTTAGGGTTACGATCGCTTTGAGGAACGGGGCCCTGTAACCCATGCTTGTAAGAGGCGACTAACGGGATCGGGCGGTCAGGCTCGCTGACATGATCGATACATGTCATCGGTTCCCAATAGCGCAGATCGATGCTCATGCTGTTGAACACTGGATTGTCTGGTCCAGACACGATCATTTACAGACCGCCGCCATATAGCTGGAATATTGCTGAGTGCGGCGTAAAACTAAACTCACTCACTGTGGCATAGTTTTTCAAAGGCTTGCACCATAATCCCGGCAGACACCAAGACAAGCACAGACAAGTACGCGCGTTCACGTGTTGTACTTAATTTAATGGCCCTCTACCGTGACAGAAGGGAGAAATAAAACTGCAAAAACTACATAAAACCCTATTAATTAACATTCCTTCAGTTCACAAGATACTGGCACCATTAAGAGAAGATGTAATGAACCTGTTCTAAATTAGCACGGATGTATGTTCAGTCTTGAGAGGAGGGACTTACGTTCTAGACACTGGGTGGTGCCGTGGGCACAGACTCTTCCCCGGGGGCAAGGGTGAGCAGCACATGACCCGACCATAGCCTGTAAGTGAGAAAGAGAGAAAACATTGTTAATACCAACAACAAATCCCTTTCTCGACTAAAACACTTTGACGATTAAAACAGATTTAGTTATCTGGAGTTTTAAACAATTTGGTCTTATTTTTTTTATATTTACAATACAAACAGTCACTCGACTGTTTTTATGATTTAAAGTAAATGTAATTACATCGCTTCCTGTGATAACTAGACTCTAAGGTAAGTCTCTAAGGTAAAAATTAATAGTTTAAATGATAATGTCTAAAAAATAATAAATAACAGACATGAGTCCTTAGACTTGCACAAATCTCTGAGGTAAACAAATATAGTTTAACTTATAATTTATAAAAAATAATAAGCAACAGACTTGTGTCCTTGGAATAACGTACCTGGAGCTTGTATAATTGGCTAATTACACGATGAGTATTATATGTGACTAAAGATGGAACCGGTACCTCATTTCAGCCTCGAAACCTTGCAAACCTATGAGTTGTGTAAAGAATTTCGTTCTTACTTTAGGTTTATGTATGTACACTAGTACGTGTTAAGATTAAGATTGTAGATTGCAAACCCGCACACGAGGCATATCACCTAATTTGTTGAGGTATCAATTAAGTGTGCTCTGCTGATATACATATATGTATTAAGTATGCAAATTCAACATGGAATGCATCTGCCTTCATCTATCCGTTCTAGATATTCATGTATTTTACAGTGTAGGCAACAAAGAACACATGTAAAAATATGTTTCAGCATTAAAATATTGGCATCCAGATCGATATGACATGGCACCCAGATGTACAGGGTTTACGGTACAGGGCTCGTCATTCGGGATTGGCACATCCCGTGTTTCACGAGGTATTTCAAGAAGCGGTTACGAATTCGAGTTTTAATGTAGTTACACCAGGGTGTGTAAGATTTCTGTGGGAGGGACACACAAAGTGTTGTAGGTCTAAGACGTTTATCACTTAGCCAAACCAAACATCAGAGATGCTGACAAACCTAATACCGCAACCGGTTCGAACCTCAGTCGTAGGAGACCAGGCCCCGAGGTTATAAAAAAATGTTCGTGCTCAACTCAATTTCATGCTCAAATTCGTGCTCATGCTCAAAATCGCGCTCAGCTGAGTATCGTACTCAAGCAGAGGTTATAAAACGTTTTGAGCACGTACTCAACTGAGTACAACTCACACTCGGCTTGAGTATGCTCAAGGTACTCTTTGTTTATCACACAAGCGGCAATTTGGAACTCTTCTGTCAAGAAAGGTAAGAAAAACGACCCGGATGTTGTCGTCTGCTATATTTACAATGGCAACGGAGGGCGTGCCCGAGTTGAAGAAACGTGGGAAAGGATGGTCGGAGGCGGAGGAGGTTTGCCTCATACAAGAAGTGCTCCAGCGAGAGAAAACTCTCTTTGGAGACATAAAAGGGTGTGGAGTAAAGTCCATCCATCGACAGCGTACCGATGGATGGCAAGAAATCACAGACACCCTAAACGCGTAAGTTGTTCAACATCGTTCCATATTCTGTATTTACTGTTCCTCGAAAAGATCACCAAAGCCCTCACCACCCACTACCATATTTTTCCAACAATGAAAATAATAACAAATTATCTTAGTTTGTAAAGACAATAACATTTCCAAAAACGAAACAATTTCGGCGATCTATGCGACTGTTCATAATTTATGGCTACGGGGTGAGTGGTTGATGAATTTCTTGGAGAAGCATGTACAATGGGAATGACTCCCAAACCCCTGACCCCCAGTCAAAAACTTATGAATGGTCCCATTTGTTCATGTTGTTAACATTGAGATTATTGATTTATGCCTGGATCAGCTGTTCAAAGCAATGCCTGTATAGCTATGAATTTATTTACTGTTGACAAATGTCATTGTTAAATGAGATGAATATATATTGTGTGACCTGTATTGTGTGAAACTGTAACCTGTTCCCATACCCCACCCACAAATGTATACTACCCATCAAAAGTTTAGACTCACTAGTGTAAATGTTGCCACTTACTTCAGTCAACTGTGGAAAACTAGATTTTGCAAAATATACCATACTGTTTAAGGGTACTGTTTACACATGAACTGATGTATTGCAAAACAAATCCATAACGTTGAAAAAATTATTGTCATGAGTTCAATAAATGATGAAACTCAGTGAAAATTGGTGAATTCGTAACAAAACTTTACACCAAAATGCAGCTGTTCACATGCAAGATATCTGCACATTCTTTTCAGTAATTTGATGCATGATCCTCATGCAATTCATCTGAATAAGTTTCCCCCAAGTAAGTGGAGAAATTCATCTTCAATGTAACCACTTATATATTTTACACATAACATATTGTGAGTGCTTTAAGTGAGTCTAAACTTTTGATGGGTGGTATAATTATGTAACTGATCATTTGTGTGTGGAGATATCAAATTTGATAATAAAACTTGTATACTTTCAGTAGACACATCAATGCCAAACGAGAGACACTGGAGGTGAAGAAGAAGTATTTTAATCTGAAGCAAAGAGGTACTCTTTCACATTTGATGTAAATAGTAGTGGGTTTGTTTTTCATCCATGATTATGTATTAGGTACTTATTATTTAAATACAGAAAATGATTCTTAATCTCTCCATAACACATGAACACATGTCAACGTAAGGATCATTGTTTATTATTCAGATATATTCCAAATATAAAATATGTGTATTAATAAGTGAATTTAACCTGCAATTTGTTTATTGTAGCTAAAGCAAAGATCGATGGCCTCAAAAGGTCAATGACCGTTACTGGAGGAGGGCCTCCACCACCAGCACTAACAAGTGCAGATGAGGTGCTTTCCCAGTCATTGGAAGGGAGGCCAGGCATTCATGGCCTAGACCATGGCATTGACACTGATGGTAAGGAGTCTTTTTCCATATTTTTAAAGAATGATATCAATTTTGTGCAAACATTCAGATAATACTGCTGCCTGTGGTGAGACTTAAAACCTGGAACATTTTCATTCTGATGACCAAACAAGGAATAAGAAAAACTTTCTTGACACCACCATCATGGACAAATCAAGTACTGTCTGAGACAAATACAACAAGTACTATTTTTAAGACACAAAGCTTGCTATTCATGTGATCATAGTAAATAATACATTTGTGTATTACATCGATTTCAAAGCATTCAGGTAATGATTAATCTGTGTCAAATAATATATTTGAAGACAATTACTCAGTCATAACATTTGAAGGTACAGGTATTTGTATGTAACTGTAATAAATTGAAAAAAGTTAAAATAGCTGAAAAATACATTTTGCTTTCCTATTTACAACAGATGCTTATGCCTGTGCAGATGAAACTGACACTGCAGCAGAAGGTAAAACAAACATTTTATGGTCTCTGAATACTATTTACATGTAATACAGTAATATACACATCTCATGTATAACATGAAACATCTGTAGTACTTGCTGGATTGTTTCCCTTAAATTACATATTTCAAGAGCATAATTCCTAAAATCTCAACTAATAGTATTACCAATAACCTTTATTTTGTGAAAATATCAATTCCATTTATGTGAACAATATAAGTATACTGTCTTGGAAAAAGATAAGTTATCTTTAATTCCTTGAATGTGAAAAATGGTATTCATCTTTTACAGGCCCAGTAGGTGAAGAACCACAAGGTGAAAGGGCAGTGCCTCAACAGGAAAACGATTCAGATGGTACATTTGAAATGTTATACTAATATATGTAAAAAAAACAAAATATGAACTAATGTGCATATTTCAGTATTGTCAAAGTTATGATTACACAATGCCATTTAGAAAGTGGTCAAATGTAACATATGTTATATGTGGGATTAACCTTTCGTAGTAAAGTACAGATTCTAGTACCTTTTGGATTGAGTCCCATCCAGGATTGAAACCACACCCTCAGAGTCAGGCACCTAATCACCAGCACACGCGGTAGCTGAATGGGTTATCTGCGGCTGACTTTGTGTGCTGGCGATTAGGTGCCTGACTCTGAGGGTGTGGGTTCGAATCCTGGATGGACTCAATTGAAAAGATACTAGAATCTGTACTTTACTAGAAAGTGTAATCCCACACATAACTATATGTTACATTAATCAAAGTTACAGTTTGGTTACCATAATACAAGTGCAATACTAGCAAACAGTAACATATTTGCATGGAATATCATCCCAAGTTGTCATTTTAACAGAACGTATGATAGAACATTGTTAGATAATTGACTTTACACTAAACATATCAAATGTCTGTTTCATTATGCTTACAGTGATAAAAAAAAGCCGGAAGCAGAGAAGAAATCAAGCTGAGGCAACATATCACAACACAATAGAGGACACTAAAAGGATTAAACTTGAACAAAAGAAGCTGCAAATGGAAATTGAAATGTTAGCAAAAAATCAAAAGAAATTAGATTCCGAAATTCAGTTGCTCCATGTCAGATCAATATACTATCAACTTAAGATGAATGCCGAATTTGGAGTGTCATTGGAAAACTGTAAAACTGAAGAATAAATGACATCAAATTTTACTCAAGATTTTGTCTTACATTTTTAAGCAGAAATGTTTGAAATAGGAAAGTAAGAACTATTTCATCAAGAAGATGTAAATTGTAGTATTTCATCAGCCTAACCTTTAATTGAAACAGTATTTGCACCACTCTCCTGGTCCAGATGGTATTGCTGCAGAATTCATTAAGTCTACTAAGTACCATATTACTTCAGTTCTGTCAGTTGTTTTTAATAACATTTTTGACAGTATTGTATTCCCTCTAAAGGAATAGTGTTACACAATGTCAGCTTTATTCATGTATTTTTAGGGGTGACAATAATTTCTGCAGAGCAATATTACGTGCACAATCAATAAAAGGGATATAATTGTAATGAGGCAATGGCAGTATGATTAATGATTGAAAAATGTCCGAATAATGTGATGTCTCACATCAGCTCCATCATTTTGACCTGTAACTAATGGTACATAATTG